TCAGCGCTGCGTACAGCATTGAAGTCACCTGTGCCTTCGCTGATGACTGGGTCAACGTCGCTTACGAGGGATACTGGAAGGCAACTGAAGAAGGATACGGAGGAGTTCTTTGCGGTGAATCTTCAATCGATGTCGATTCTGCGTGAGTTTAAGCATGATTAACGAAGGGAAATTCAACGAGTTCTAGCGGTCTCGCCACTTCTTGCGAACACTCTGCCCACGGTTGCATGAGTCTCCAGAGCGGAGAAGAGTACAACCGCTGCATCGCTGGCCACCTCAAAAAGAACGGCGCCCACTTTTTGTGTAGCGGCTCGCGAGACATGAACATTCTCGCCTCCGACCCGGCTTACATGACCACTTCTGGCACTGGAGCGGAAACTGTTGAATGTGGAAACGCATACGTCTCTGCCTGGTGCATTCACCGATAAACTGAATTCTTTTTTACTCAAATATAAAAAATGCGAAAATGAGACTTCGAAAAAAATCTATTTTTGAAAAACAAATTCCAGTTTCGAAATTTATTGTAATAAGTTAAATCGTCAGTGAACTGTCTCAATAATCTGCAGAAGCAATTTAATCTCAGCAAGCCTTGTCTGAGTCGGAAGAACACGGTTGGGAAAAAGAGTAACAAAAAGCGTCTTCAGCAAATGCGATTGCGATTGTTTTTCGTTTTTGAAAGTTACAGTATCATTGATACTGTATCAATTTACAGTAATTGATTGTTTTGGTTTTTGTTTGAGGGCAGTAGAAGACAAATCCTAATTTAGAAAAAATTGAAAGAAACTAATCGTAACAGAAAATGACATAAACTATTAAAAAGGCAAAACAACCTTCAAACAGCTCAAAAAATCCTAAAAAAAGACACAACTTGGAAATTATAACTAGTAGGGCGCGTAGTGAGCTTCTCTGGTGCTAAAGTTGCTGTAGTAGGCTCTTCCACGGGCGCGATATCCTCGACCGCGGCCTCTGAATCCTCCTCTGCCGCCACCTCTGTCCGTCGAACTGATTCCTGGACGATTGGTGCGTTTTGGCATCACTTTGATTTCTCGGCCGCGGAGAACAGAGCCGTCCAGGGCCAGGGATGCGTCGACGGATTCTTTTTCTGTGAATTCGATGTATGCAAATCCCTAAAGAGACTCGTTAAAATAACAAACAGGAAGCAAAATAGTTAGCTGCCCTGACTCAGGGCCGGCATGATCTGAAACGGGGCAATACGTCTGGGCTCGGCAAACTTAGCTGTGTAAAAACCTGTCACAGGTCCTGTTTCCTGTTTTTGGGGGACCTGTCTGAGTACCTGTGTAAAATCGGGTAATAATTTGGGCCTGTCCTGTGTACCTGTGTAAAATTGGGGGAAAAATTTTCTTTAGCTGTCCCTGTTCCTGTTTCTGTCTTAAACAGGCCTGTGTTTCCCGCTCAGGTCCTGACTGTAGACAGGTTCCTGTGTAACCGGTCTCGAAACTGTGCAAAAGGGGAAACGGGGCAGTTGACCCGTTGCCACGTCTCATTTCGCGACCCAGGAGCTGGTAATTTGCTGATCTTACCTTTGGATGGCCACTGTATTTGTCGCAAATGATGGTCACTCTGTTCAGCCCCCCGCAGCCGTGAAAATGTTGCTCAAGCTCTTCAGCTGTACACGCATAATCTACCTAAAATCACCGTTAAAAGCAGCGAAATAACGATAAAATTACCTGTCCGACATAAATCGACCGATTGTCTGTCTCCATCTTTTCCTCCATAGTCGGGAAGTTCACTTTTGCAGGCTCTGAAACACGATTTAGTTCCTTTTCTAAGACCCCAGAGTCGGCATCGGTGCCTCGAATCTTTACCTCGAACATCAGCAGAGATTTGTTGCTCGACTTCTGACTGTAGCGCTTTCAACTTCTCGGCTTCCTGCTCCATCGCTTTCACTCTTTCTTTGATCGCTTCCAATTCCTAAATATAGAAAGCTAGATTCAAGACCTTCTTCCGAAAATCGTGACTTACTGGATCATCTTCGACGTCGTCTTCTTCTTCGGCGAGTTCGTCGACGTCCAAAACGGTCGATTCCTCAAGCACGGTCGACTCTTCTAGCTCAGCATCTGATCCATTCAGTGACATTCTAAAAACGTACAGTAAGTTTTGATCTGTTGGCGACAAAACGTATTGTTTTTGTCGCTTCTTTGATTTTTTATATTTTTCCGAATAGATATAATCGAACAAATAGAAATATCGAATTATTCAACTGAAAACGAAATCAATATGGAATTTCTTTGAACATACATAGATAGTAGTAGAAGGAGAATGTTTTTGGTTTTCAACGATGAAGCGGGGGTTTGGAAGACAAGAGGATCACAATTTTTAAACACGCATGAAAATTTGATGAAAAAGGATTGATGTCAAATGTCGCTGAAGGCCCAGAGCTCCACATCACAAATCTGAAGAAAGTGATGAGAAAATTTGGGTAAAGGGAATAGGGGGCCCTGGGGGCCACACCCCTCGGTTAGGCCTAAAGGGGATCCCGGAGGAAAAGCCCTCTTATACGCGGGTTAGGCCCGACGGGCCCGACCAGTGAGCGCCTATATCTGTAAGATATCTCCAAACGATGAAAAATACCTGAAAATCCTTTTCCCTTGTCAAAGTCGGATTCATAAACGTTTCACAAGGCTTCGACGTCCCTCTCAGCAAATTATCAGGAATCCAAATTGCATAGTCGCCCTCTGAAGAGCCAAAAACGAGCGTGTCTTTCGTGCAGCGCGTGAAGAAATTGTTCTTGCCGGACCAGGGAAATTGAGCGAAGTCGTCGGCCGAATTCGACTTTTTAAAGCGAAATAAAAACGACTCCCCAGAGCCGAAGAAGTGTTCTTGTACTTTGAGCGGGTGTGAAGCCAGTGCTCCTATTGTCGAGCCACACAGCGTCTAGGAAAGGGATGAAGGAGGGGCTGAACGAGGAAGAAGCGAGTACCTTGATAATGAGAAGATTGGGCGATGAAGTTTTGGCGGCTTGACGATAAAGCGTTCCAATTGAAGTTCCATGGTTTCTGAAATACAAAAATAACAATAGCGAATACCTTCAGTATGAGGACGTGTTAGTATAGACCTAGGATTCAAATCCGGAGAGGAAGGGCTGAGGTAAATTGCGTGGGTGTGTAGGTTTGGCTCTCGCGCTTAGAGGTAAGCGAGGCTCTACCTCAAGATACCTCTGCGCTGGATGAATCACGCTCTTTCAAGCCCTTTGCGCGCTGCACATGAATAGCGCTAGCGCGCCCGCTAATGTAAATTTCGCCTCCGAATCACCTCAGCTACCTCAAAGGTGGCTGTGCCACTTTTACCTCTTACCGCCGCGAGGAGAAGGGGGATTCTCCTCTAAGCGAGAGAGCCCAACCTACACGCCCACGCAATTTACCTCAGCCCTTCCTCTCCCGATTTGAATCCTAGGTATAGACCATAATTTTTACCTTGAAGAATATTTGAGCATCCATTTTGAACCGATACATCTTGCTGGGAGAAATTGATTAATTGCTGCAACTTGTTGAATGCTGAATAGAAACATTTTTTAGTTTTGAAAGGATAAAAAATAGTACTTTAGAATGTCCGAGGAGCAAGTCATGTCAGGAATTTCGTCGATCATTTCCGGCTCTTCGTCTTTGTCCTTGTCGACTTTTGTCCACTCGGACTCGAACTCGGAGTAAGACTCGATTTGCCAGCTCTTTTCAACCGAGGAGAAGAATTCTTCGTTTTCCTCCAAATAGGAAGCGCTTAAATAAATTATTACTTTCGTGAATGATGAGTTTGAAAAGAGGAGAAAGATCAGAAATATTCATTCAGAATCAGTCACTTTCGAATAAAAGAGAAGAATTTAATGAAACGGGTCAATATTTGCTAAATTACACTAAAACCCAGCGAGAAAGGGCCTGACTCAGGTTTCCACAAAGGTTGCCGAGCAAAGTCCAGCCAACTTTGAAGCATTACGACTTTTGAACATGATTTTTCTCTGATCAGAATTAATTTTAATTCATTTGGATAGCCTAAGCAATAGAACGCTCGATCAGCTTACCCAAAAGAGACAATTATTGATCCCAAGTTAATTAAAAACAGTGAAAATGTGCAAAAATGCAATCTGAGTTCTTCAATAAAATCTGTATACGAGTATGTTTTTATTTTCTTGCCTCAAGGCAAGAAATAACGATTTACGCGGCTATTCTAGCGATTCTCTGAGGAAGTTTACCTGCTAACATAAGCAACATCAAACTGTCCGGATTTTTCCTTTTCTGAGTTTTCTTCGTTTTCGTCATGATTTTCTGCTTGTTTCGGAGTCGGTTTAGGCGCTTTGAGCCCGGGCGTGGCAACTTGTCTGGCGGGAGACCATTTCTGGAGACAGGTAAGAATGGGGGATGTTTCGGATGAAGAAATGGAAAAGTAGGAGACGGGCGAGGAGCCGGATACTTGCAGCCAGCTCTGGAACGCGTTCGAAGGACTTTTGAGGCTGACAGAAAGGTCTTTATTCTAGCTTTCTCACTATAGCCTCGGCAAACTGTGAAGAAGCGTGGGTAAGTGCCCAAAAGGTCACCTTTTCAGGACCCTGACCCATCTCTTTCTTTACAGGTAAACGGGCTCTGTTTGAAATTATGTTTCTTGGCAGCCATTCCTGTTGTAGAGCGCAGCTCTTTTAACATCTGCCATCGGCAGAATCAGTCCATTTTCCGGGTCAGGCTGGCTGGGGTCGAACATCAGCGCACAGGGAGTGATGAGCAGTACCCCCGCGACGCAGTCTTTTTCGACATCGATTTCGCTCAACGAAATGCTCCGCTCGAAGTTTGGTCGAAGTTTGAAAGCGTCCAGCTTAAAGATTTTTAATTTCAAAAATTGATGGATTCCTCGTTCATGAGTTGATCCCCGCAAATTATGACTTGACGTGGATTTCCGCGCGCGAATTGTTCAACTGAAGAATTTTTACGATTTCGCCGTAAAAACGTAAAATCATCGGCCACGGTTAAAAAAAGGCTACGCTTGTTCCCCTAAAAGCCTTTTGGTGAAAGAGTCATTTTGAAAATATGTCGCAAACTAGAGCTGGAATCAGTGGAGGTACCGTTTCGAAGATTATCAGGGACGCGAGCAATGGGGATATTCGTAAGTAACAGGAATAAAAAGTCGTTTCTTTATCCTCAGCCTTCGAGTATGAGAAAATTTCGGATAATTGTTTTTCAGAAACGTAAGCTCTAGGTCCAAATGGCTGGGAAAGAAACATTCCGACAAAGGCTTCCGGCTTTGCTCAATCGTAAGCCCTTCCATTTCATCTCTTTCTACAACAATTCTAGCTACGATATCGACGTTGAAGTCGAAACGACTCAAACCATCCACATTACTGGTGTCCAAATTGTCCAATCTGAAGTGACCATCGTCGAAGAAGGCCGTCCATAGAACAATAAATCAAATGCAAAAAATGAAGATCGTTTTTCTAATGTCAAACACCTTTCAATTTTTAGAATTGAGATAAAATGGCGGATCGTCCAGCGACTTTTGGACTCACGGGAATGCCGAATAATGGGACCATGAAGGTAGAAGAAGATTTTAAAGAATTGTAAGTCATTTTCAGGGACCCTCGAGTGGCCGACGAGATGTGCTCGACAGAAATACGACAGCTACAGGCAGATACACCGTTAAATCAAAGTAAGAGCTTGGAATTTGATTGAAAAAACATGCTTTGAAGAAGCCGCGCGGCTTGAATTTCGTTTCAGCTTTTCAAAAGAAATAACCAACAGTTAGAAAAGTCGCAAGCGGCTCTTTTTTTTAAGCCGCGTTTTTAACCGTCTTGTTTCAGGACAAAACTGCGCGTCCGAGTGGAAACTCTTTCAATGAACCAAGTCGACGCCGTCCACGTGAGACCAGAACACACCGGAAACAACGCTCAAAACCAGAACTTTCAAAACTTTCAACAAAAAATATGAAAATAAAGATCTTTTCACCCTCGAAATCACGTCCGTTTACCTTGATGAAACCGATGGCTTCTGGGGTTTCGTCGATACCATTTTCGACTTCGTCATTTCTGGCGAGATCCGGGTTTTCAGGAACTTTGATAACTCTTCCAGTCCAGAGATCGGAGGAGTCGGAGATGCGGTTTCTCGATTTTAGGGCAGAAACCGGCGCGTCAAACTGAAATTTGTGAATAAGCAAATTTCTAGACGGACTGTTAATGCAAGGAAATTTCGGGGTCGAAATTGCGTTGCCAGAAACAGGAATGAGGACCCTGACATAGATTTACAAGCGGAGATACTGTACCTTAATTGCAATCGTCTGAAGTGAGTCCGACTCATCGACTTCGTAATCAACCCACTTCGAGCTCATCTCCCATTTTTCCCTAGAATCATCATTTTCGATAAATTTTCGGATCAGTCATGTTTGATTACAGTTAATTTCAATTTTAAAAACGAGGCAATAATCGAGATGATGATAAGGGTGAAATAAGTTGAGATTTCTTAATCTTTGCTTTTTTCTAGAATCTTTCTTCTTTTGTTCGATTCGAGAATTTCTCTCTTGGTCGATTTTGCGGCGGGCGCCGATTGGCTGTGTCGCGACCGAGGCGTGAATTTATCATTTTCTCATTTCGCCGATGAATGAAGAACTACAGGCACTTGAAAATGTAGTCCAAATTTTCGACACCAAGGTTCATTTCTTCATTTTAACTATCTATTATTCAACGCATGGGCCAAGGTACTCTTCACACCGGGTGACCCTCCTTTCGTCAGGAAAATTCTTGTATCCTCCATTCGTGAGGAAAATCCGCCGGTTTCCTGACGAATGGATGATTTCCTGATGAAAGGAGGGCATTCATAACCTTTTAAGTAGGGGTCCCCTTTCTATCTAAAACAGAGTCTGTTTTAAACAGTAGGTAACCTACTCCATCCTTGACTATATGCATGCAACCCTTGTTCTTCCCCTAATTTGAAGCATGGAGTTAGAGGATAACCAAAGGCAATCATGCATAAAGTCAGTGGATGATCTAGGGAGATCCCTGATCTGTTTGAAAGAATTCTTAAACTTTCACCCGACTCAAAATTCCATTATGTTCCTATCATATCCTACAGAAAAGAGGAAACTTACTTCATTGTTTTCTTTTTTCGGCATCATTGTTTCTGAATACTCTTTTTTTACACTTGGATTCTTTGAGCACAGTTTAGAGATATCAAAGTCAGAAAAATGAAGTTTGGCTTCTTTTTCGTCAAGGGTTTCAAATAGTTTTTATTCATATTATTTCTGTTAAAAGTGAATCCCAAACGAAGCGTCTTCTGCTTTCATCAGCGCAGATCCTCTTCGATTTGTTAAAGTCAGTGCTGAGGACTTGAATCGAGCGAAATTGAAATTGGGCGAAGACTTTTTCAAATATGCGGGCCCGAAACTGCCTGGATTTACTAATTGTATACAAGATTCATCCTGCACTGAAGAGAACGTGGAGGATATGAGGGAGATTCAACAACTCCTTTACAAATGCCTCGATGTAGAAAGTGACGAAGTATGCGCACAATGGCTTGTCAACTCTCAACATCCGTATTAAAGGTCATTTTCTGAGTCAGATTTTGACAATAAATTTCCTTATATTTTTTGCATAATTAAAATTCTCAATCTGATTTTATTCAGAGAAAATTTTCATTTTGAAAATTCTAGTACAGAGTACAACAGTGGTCGAACGAGTCCGATTTCTTCTTATTGTCGCACAGCAATTGAGTCGGGAGAGTTTTCTGCAAGAAAGATTAGTTCTGATTTCGATTCTAGTTCAAAATGTACCGATGGTGATCTGGGTCTCTTCCTTGATGTCAGAGGGTCCAACGCAGCCGGGGAAGACCTTGGCGAGGAACTCGACGGCGTTTTCAACGAGTTGATGTTTTGGCATCCTCAGACGATCTTATCTGAAAGCCAAGAACTATTCATCCATATTTATAATGTCGTTTTATTAAGAAATAAAGTCAGCAATAAATAAAATTAAATATCTTCGGAAATCAAATCGAGGAGCTTGATTCTAAAAGGAGAATGGCAAAGATTCGTCAGTTTTTTTTATATAGACTCATTTTTTTCTCTTTTAAAAGTTGTTTGTTCTGAAGCGGACCTAGTGAAGAGGCGCCAAGGGGCACGTGAGTGCGGCTGTTGCCGTTCACAAGGTCTGGCTCCTTTCCAAAAGAGTTATTTCTTGTGTTTCGAATACTTTATTTACAGTTTGAAAGTTTTTTCAAGAAACGGGAAGAACTTGTCCAGTGACGCGGTTGACGGAAACCGATCTAATGCTTTCTCGCGTTGGAAATTTGCGCGTCTCAATAAACCTAAAAATCAGTTTTGAAAATTATGCAGATTGATGATTTTTACCATTTTGAATAAGCGCGGGTCTCGATGTTGCGGAAACACTCGTGTCGGTTCAAGTTGCCTTCGAAGAGATGGAAGCGAGCTAGAATTACGTTACTTTCCACATATTGTTCTCTAAGAATTAATGAATTGACACCCTTAATATTAAAAGCAGCAGCTTTCTGACTTACGCATTTCATCAGAATCAAGATTTTCGACGAGAATGACTGTTTTGTTCGGATCATCCTTCTCATGATTCTTCCATGGTCGTTGAGAATGAAAAAGGACGAAGTCTGGATAAAAGTTGAAAAAGTCCAAGTTCCAGGTCTGAAAATTCGCTCCAGTCGACCCGGATGGATATTGAAAAGCAACCGAGTATTCGCCATTCACTGAAAAGAGGGTTGAAAGATGTTTTTGATGGTTTTCTTACTTTGAGTATCAAGACGGAAGACGTAGCCAGTTTTGCCCTGATTTTGGTTGAACATATCGACAACGGTCACCTGAAAATGAGAATTAAGGGTGTCAACTGGTTAAGCAAAAACTCACATTGATTCCATCTTTGATTGGCTGAGGACAGTTAGGTTTCCACTCAGGTCTTGGGTTTTTCTCTTTCTTTTTGCATTTCACTGCCGGAACCAACTTTCGTTGCTGGCAAACAAGGTCCCCGGAGTAATTTCGGTCAGTAGATGCTAGAACAAGCTTGTATCCTGGAGAGCAGACGACATCGACAGGCTTTGGATGCTCTGGAACACCTGGCTGGATCGCATACACGAGACCGTATCGAATCGAGCATCGTTTGTAGACTGAAGTTTTGAGTGATAATTATGCAGAGGTTTTTATCAATTTGACAAAAAAACTTACTCTTTCTACTTCGGTCAATGCCAGTTCCAAGAGTTCGATCGAAAAATTGCTTCCCAGCATCTTCAGCTACTGTTTGAGGATTCTCTGAAGCCCAGAAGCTCTCGTAGGTCTGCTTTACCCTTTTGATCTGGTTAACAATTGATTTTCGATTCGAAAAAATGGACCGAAAATTGGTATTTTCTCGATGAAGATTCTCTTAAACCAGTTCCTGTTTGAAGAAGCAAAAGCTATCAAAAGTGAGCTGAAAAATCTCATGTTCCGAGACCCAGTTTATCACCGAAGTCCTGTTCAAAAAATGGCAATCTGAGAAGAAGATTGATTCTAGCGCAGAGCGAAGAGCTTACTGTAGCGCCACCTGAGGAATGCTGAAGATAGCGCAGGGCGCACTTTTAGTGACTCATTTTTGCCTTGTTAAAGTTTTAATAATCAAAATTCATCAATTTGATTGTTGAGGACCCTGATTTACCAGTATTCAAAAAATTCAGGATATTTTAATTAAATAAGCCATGATATGATTAAGATTTATTTTCTATACAAGTAAAATTGCTATATAATTGTTCTAAAATTTAAAAATGTGGTGGAATCGAAATTATTCCATTCAAGTTATGAAAATGGTTGCATCAATCGCCATTCTTCTTTCTATCCACGTGGATTTGAAACTGAGCTTTCAGATAACCCTATTTTGATAGAAGGAAGTACTCTGCTAATCATGAAGCACCCAGCTAACCCTCTCGAAAAATCAAAATAAGAACGACTTCCTGTGCCGGACGGACTTTGACAAGCCAGCGACGCTTCTAACGCTTCTTACTGCGACGCTGTTAGATAGATATTTTCATTACTTGAAAATTGCATCGAGTCTTGGAGGAAATAGTTGCCGCTAATTCTTTCCCAAAAGTATTGCAGCTCAAGATTCCTGAAACTCCGCTGCTGCGGTTTCCGCTATTTTGGGAACATGACGACACAGATAACGGCACCTCTGTGAGCTTGGGGTATTTTTAAGCATTCCTTATCATTATGCTGGGCCGCCCGCTGATAACCCAGCTGACAACGCTCAGATGAAAAAACTACACAATGCGGATTTTATGAAAAATAAATAACACGTCGTTGTTTTTACTGAAAATTTTATTATAAATCGTAAGAAAACTAGAAGACAATCATTAAGCATCTGTCAAAGTAATTGAGTAAGCTTGCGGGAGTAGATACCAAATTTCTGAGTCCATTTTGTCAAACTTTTCGTTTGCCAAGTACATAAAAACATTTTTGTTTTGATCATCCCAATCAGAATGGTACACTGTGTAAATAAAGTCATTCCTTCGATCATCATAGCACGATATCATCATTTGTTGAGAAGCATAATATCTGTTCTGCCTTGGGATACGGAGAAGAGCTTCTTCAATAATATGATCAGAGTTCTGAATAACGTATTCATCAGATGCAACATCCACATGGTCCAAAACCATTTGATGAAAAAACACTTCCCCGTCAGTAAGATAAGCGCCAGTGACTGTAAGAGGGCGATTTGTATCAAATTTCTAGTGGAGATGGACTTTCTTGTATTCGAATTTCGGTAAGTCAACATTGTTCCAGATGATTGCCCATCCACTTTTGCAGAAAAAGGTTTCATACTTGAGCCTTTTCAGGAGAAGCTCGATTTCTGTTTCTTGAAAATTTGTTTCCTTCAGATTGGGATTCAGGTTCAAACCGGCTAAACTTCGAGGATATATTATCATTGTCAACAAAAGAAAGATATTGTCGAAAGACCATTCTGATTCTTTTTTTATTATCCTGGTCAAATCATTTTTCATGGCCCATCGTAGTAAAGTTGTGACCGATATCGGCACGCATAAATTTGATTCTTTTTGGTTCATCAAACTTTTCGTGAGGTTCTTGAAACCTGTTTTTATGGTCTTCGTGAGGCGATTCTTCAGATAATGGACACCAATCGATTTTGTTAAATTTTTGTCATTTAGGCAAAGGTTTTGTGATGTGTTCTGTAGGGTTATTATTTTTGAGGTAATAAACATTATTGTGAATTTTTTGAATTTTGAATTTGGGCTTTTGAAAATAGCGTCAGAGAAATCTCTGTTGTACAAGTCATGCAGAGCGCCCAAATCATCGGAAGAATCTTTGAGTCTTTTCTTCTCGTCCTTATCAATAGGTTCGTTCAATAAGATCCATGCTGATTTCCATTCCGTCAAAATATACACAATCGTCTTTTTGACAGTTTCTGGAAGACCTGATTTTGATGTTTTACGAAAGATGTGGGAATCCAAATAATCTCCCAAGATCTGTCTCCCTGAACAGAAACCAGGTGAACCAGAGTCTAAAAGGAATTAAGTTGCAAAAATAAATTGAGAAACCAAGTCTGACTTACAAAGATTCTCATCTTTTCGTATTTGAATAGCCCATTTGTTTGTAGCTTAGTCGTCCGCTTGTGTCCTGAATAACACCAAAATCAATTATTTTAGCGGTGCCATTTATAAGGATAACATTTTCCAGCTTTAGATCGAAATGCTGCTCGATGCCGATTTTTCGAAGATATCTGAAACCTTGTAGTACATCATTTGCTATTGCGCTCCGTTCTTTCATCGTTAAGGTATTCTGTCTCAGCAAATCTCTCAAACACTGTTCGCCCTTTTCCATTATTGTCACAGATCCAAGGCAATAAGATTGAGATTCATCCAAAATCTCAACATGGACAAAGTTTTTTATAACATTTTCATGGTAAGGAATAGATTTATGATCGCGTTTTGTGCCATCCTCAGCTTTCGCAATATCAAAATCTAAAATAACATCAAAATATTTTAATAATTTTCATGACCACCTTTTGACACATGAATATTGAAAGAAACATTCTGATTAGAGACAAATAATGATGGATCAAAGACCTAAATTTAACCGTGTTTTCTCGATTAACGATAAGAAATTTACTTGAACCCTAACAGCAGTCATCAACTCATCAAACTGTTGAGAAATGACAAGCGCTTCGCCTCCTGTTGAGATAATATTGTCAAAAATCGATGTTTCGAGAAACCATGTTCCTCGTTCTTCTTTTAATTCTGATCTCTCAATTTGAGCATCGATTAATTCTGGATTATTTGCAATTATTCGGCTTTGGAATGGTGTCATTTTGAATTTCTGTTTTCCCGACTTGAAATAAAGAATCCCTTCATTTTCTTTGAATTTAACAGCTGACCATGAGCCTTGTTTCCATGAGTTATTACTATTAGTAAGTTATTAACTTATTAGCGTTCTTTGTTTTAAAATCCATCTGATCAATTGTAAGCAGAAGCCGATCCTTGTCATTTCTCGATGTTTCTCTCTTAATTCTTGGCAAAAAGTCCTCAAGCCATTCTCTGACATTCTGCTTGGATAACTCTTCTGGGTATGATGCAATACTCATTGAAAAAAAATGAAATAAAAACCGCCGATTCAGAATAAAATCGCGCTATTTTACTTATTTTTCCTCTTCTCGGTCTGTCTTTTCCCTTCGCTAAACATTAACTAGCGCAAATATAAATATTACCGTGTCATAAAAACAAAACGAAAAATGGAAAGATGTTTCTCAATCTTTATTTCAAAAATATAAAAAGGCAAATAAAAAGAACTTTGTACAACAATCATTTCTTTCACAGCGTCTTCATCCGAATATTGAAATGTCTTATTCGTCTTGCTGATTTTTTCGTTTTTCGTCTTGGCGTTTTCGTCGGACGACTTTTCGAATTGGCTTTGCAATTTTTCGAAGAAGCCGTTTTAGTCGGTATTGCTTGCCTTTGCTCACTTTGCCTTTCACGTGTTTTCCGTCACAGCCTTGAATATTCTTTGTTGTCTGAAAAAACGAGTTTGTACTAGATTTAGGTTGAACATAGAAATACAATATGCATTCAGCTGGAGCGTCTAAATGCTCCACGTAAATTGGCGCTAAGCCGTTAACCCTTATCCATGGTATTATCCCGCGTTCACTTTTCATACCTCACGAGCGTAGTAATATTCGTTGATGTACCGCTGGAAACCATCCGACAGAATTTGCATCCGAGTTGCGTAGTCATTTCCAGAGCTCTTCTGAAATAACCATAATGAAGAATATCTCTTCTTTTTAGAATTTTTACCTTTGTCGCATCAAAAATATCGTCGTAGGTTTTGACAACTCCCTGGTTTGGCTCTCCGGGATATGGGAGCAAATCTTAAATTTTAAGAAAAATCTTTAAAGAAATTTTCAAATATATCATTGATCAAAAAAGTTCGAAAGAAGTATCAAGTCTTTAAAGAATACCTAGTCGACAATTATGCTCTGCGTTGAGCATATAACTGTAAGCGTGATTATATTTCTTCTGCATGTTTGGATGCTTGACTTCTTTCAGCCATCGATCACTAGATAATAAAAAGGCTGAAATGCGCGAGGAATAATTACTTGAGGTGTTCTCTGAAAATTCGGAAAAGCTCGATAAAGATCCAAGATTCTCTTGGAGGAGCAGAATCAGATGATGTCGTTGATGTTTTTGTTGTTGAGGTCGTTCTGGTTGTTGATTCTGCGGTTGTTATTGTTGTGGATTTTGTTGTTGTGGTTGATGTTGTTTTCTTTGTTGTTGTAGTGGTTCTTGTCGTCGTTGATGATGTCGTTGTTGTCGATGTAGTCGTTGTGGTACTTGTCGTTGTAGTAGTTGTAGTGGTTGTCGTCGTTGTCGTCGTTGTTGTAGACGTCGTAGTTGTCGTAGTGCTTGTTGTTGTTGTAGTAGTCGTAGTTGTCGTTGTTTTTGTTGTCAAAGTTGTTGTTGCGTTTGGGTACAAATGGGTGCATGTAGCATAGTGATCTTGACAGCAATCTTCAAAAACGTTATAATTTTATCGGGCCAATAATAAATAAAAGCTTTCAGTTATTAAAGCTGACGCTCTTAAAGGTCGCTTGAATTCCATAGATATGCAATCATCGTTATTACCGTCAAAAATAATGCATGATGAATCGCAAAAGCAATCTCTTCTTAAATCATCTCCTGCTGATGCTGTTTGTTGTTCACAAGGCTAGAAATAAATTAAAAAGAGTCCTTGATTTCAAAAACTTACGATTCCAAAACCAAGTAAAATTGGGTTGCATCCAAAGCATTCAATATCAACTCCATTGCAGCACTGCTGTTCCCTCCCCACTCCTCGTAACGCGCAACTGGATGAACTTTCTTTCCTTGCCAAATGAAAGGCCTTAGATTTGTTCAGTCTTTCTCTAATTATTCGTTTTGGCGTGAATGTCGAAGAGTATTTTTGCTGAATCGCTGCGATTTTTTGACCAAACGCGCTGGATATTAACAAAATCGGTAGCGTCAAAATATTTCTCATTTTGAAAAAATATGTTGAAAAGAATAGAAATTTTGAGAAGTAATGAGGCTGATTGAAAAAATGACATTTTATATGGGTGATGAAGGTGATTACTTGGACGATGGCGCTAGAGATATCGGAGACGGGGACGATAAGCGGACAGATTACATGCGTAAACGAATCATGCCTAAGCACAATTCATTGTCTCAGACGATTTCTGCAAGAAATGCGAATAAAAACGACTAGTTCGGTCTCGAGTATCAAATTTTGAAAATCTATTTTTCTAGTCTTATGTCACCTAAAACCTTATTATTTTCTAACAACACGTCTTTTAATCCCATTCATCTGTGCTGGATAAACATTCTATTCTTTACCGAGTTCATTCTACGAGACACTTTATTTTTAAAAAGGTTCTGAGACGTCTTGATTTACAAATTGCAGTTTATTTACTCGTTCGAAGGAGTTACAGAATATTTCGAATTTTCTTCGGACCCAATTGCTTCTGGCAAAATCAGTTTTTGTTGTGGAGCGACGACTTTTCGCAGCGATTTTTCTCCGGCGAGTTCGTTTAGGAGATTCTTTCTCGCGGATTTCGAATGAGCTGACGCGCTTGGCGGTCGCTAGAATTTTTTAAAAAGATGGTTCGGGAAATATTTTACCATTGTCGGGGCAGCTGGAGCTGGTGGAGGAGGAGGAGCACGGGCAGATGAAGATGGTGCTCCTCCGCCACCTCCCTTTGCTTTGAAATATTCTTCCAATCGAGCCATTTCCGCTGGATCTAGTTTTTCAAGCATGCTTGTGATGTCGCTGTCTCCCAAGTCGTTTTCTCGCTCCGTCACTAGAACCCCTAGAAACCCATCTTTCAATGCAGTTTACCTCGGCGCGGAAGAGGAATTTGTCCGGCAGGAGCTTGTTGCATTTCCCGCAGGGATCCTTTTCTCTTTTTCGCAGTTGAAACAACTTTGATTTGCTTCTTTGGCTGTCTTGCACTTCCTCCGAGAGCTTTTTTGAGCGCCATTCTTTCTCGCCTTTTCTTGTCAGTGTTTCTAGACTGATTGAAAACATGTTGATCAGCGATGAAATACCTGGTCAAGAAGTTGTTGCAAGTCATTCGATGGCCCGCATTGCCAAACTGGTACCCGAAGCGGCAGAGTGTTTCATTGTGACGGAGATACTTGACAAATTCTTGCTCGACGTTTTGACCAAATATATGCCGCTGGTTATCAATCCTGAAAGAAGAATCGAGCTCAGTTATGCTTCAAAACATTAAAGAATTACCTCAGCTCAGATAAAACTGTATTCTTTTGCAGCGCTTTGACAATTTTCGCCGCTCCATCACCAGTGATAAAGTTTGATTCGACCGATACTTTTTCCAGTGTTCTATTTCTTTTCAGCATCTAAACAATCGATCATATTTTTCTTCATATAAATTATACCTTGGCCAGGGCGTAGGCTACTTTGTCTGTCAGACCAGTATTGACGAGGGAAAGTTCTCGGACATAGACGTTTTCTTCTAGCGCTTCCATCAATTCTTCAAGGAGTTCGTGGGGGATGTTAAGGATGTTGTTTAAATTGATGGACGTCAGATCATTCTCATTTTCCCAGCAACGGCTACAGAGATTACAAGGATTCGAAAAGGAATAGGAGTGTACCTGAGGATTTCTTCAGGAGAATTTGGATTGACGAGTTCTTCATCAGAAGCGTCCTCTTCGTGGTACTCTTCTTTGAATCGTTGGATTTCGTCATGGTCAACTTGTTGCAACGCGGATTTCACCTGATTCAGCTGGCGGTCAGTTTTGTTCGTAAATTGGCGAGAATATTCTTCTTTGCGCTTCGGAATCGAATTTAGACGCCCAATCTGGTCTTGCAAACGTCTGAAAATTTAATTTGAAGATGAAAAAAGGAGGGAAAAATTACTGTTGATTCATGTCTTCCGGATTATTCATTCGTTGCGTGTCGATTTGAACAGATCTCAACTGCTTTGCCATCCAGTCTGGATCTTGCTTCACGTCTTTTTCAATTCTTTTGACTTGATCAACTGGAGCAGGACGTAGGAGTTCTGCAGGGACGCAGCTCAAGTCTGGTTGAAAAACGCGGCCAAAAGCGGGGTGCTCGATCCACTCGCCTTTTCCTTCTTCGATGAGTTTTCGGTAAAGAGGGGCGGGAATGCCAACCATTTGCTGTTTTGGGGGATCGGGGCGAACGTCTTCATCGCTAGAAAAGATATTTTACCAGGCCCATGAATCATAAAAAGAAATCCTGCAACAAAAAAAGAGGACCGAAAAATTAATTTACGAACCTAGAATCATCATCTGAAATCGGTGGTGGAGGAGTCGGAGCTCTCAAAGAATAACTCGGATTTGGTTGAATAACATCTCTTTCTAGCTCTTCATCCAGCGCTTTTAGCTCTTCTTCTGTCATCCCTTTTTTCAATTTTTTAACATCGTGCAATAATCTTCAATTTTACCTTTCATAAGTTCATCAATATCCAGATCACGATAATCTTCCAACATTTCTCTGTAGTTACTCATTTTCCCAAAATTTTTAATATTTGCTCTCCGATTTTTGAAAAAAGGGATCGCGGCAGGACTGATAGGGATTTTTTGGCCTGCTCACACCTTGAGCATGACGCGGCTGGACAGTTGACTCACCAGGACAGAGAAAGAAACGAGAAAGGATGAGACCAAAAAAACAAGTTTTCGATAAAAAAAATTTTGCAATTTCTGACCTTGACTTTGTGTGAAAAAGAAAATCCGCATAAGTTTAATTCTCGGCTTATTATTCTTTCCTCGCCTTAGCGAGCGAAAAGTGACTATGTCATTTGTCAAGCTTTTGCAAAATCCTTAACCCGCTACTAATGCATAAGCTGCTTTTCGAAAAGAGCGTGCGCTGGCGGACACGTTTCTCCTCTCGAAGCCCAACATTTGTAAGTCCGGAAGAACTGCTCAAAAATTAAAGCCTTATTACCAATACACCTCTTCTTTTGCCCAAATGGTTTCTTCGAAAGAAAAATTTATTGAATTAAAAAGTAAAAAAAGTAAAAAGCTCAAAGCTGGGTTCGGCAACCTGTGAAGAAAACCTGAGTCAGGGTTAAAAAAAAGGAACTGGAAAGCCGCGTAGCGGCTTTTTTTAAAAACGAAGCCGCATAGCGGCTTCGCGAATATAATTATTATGATCTATAAAAAATTCTAGCGAAGCCGCTTTGCGGCTACGTTATAAAAAAAAGCCGCTGGACGGCTTTTCATTTCAGCTCTTTCAGACCCTGACTCAGGTTTTCTTCACAGGTTGCCTTGTCCAGCCCTTCAGACGAGAAAAAACGGTAATAACTGTTGCATAAGAGACTTTCTCAAATTAGCAAAACAAAGCGCGAGGTTTATTTTTTTACAAAGAAGAAGAGCTGCTAGTTTAGATGGTACAACGTGACATCGCCCGTGAAATCGCCCGGCTCACGGCTTCCTTAAGTTTTTTTGGTTAGTTGTGTAATTTGCTTGTTGACCGATCAAGTGTCCGCCTTTGCTGAGTTCTTACCGTTTCTTGAGTTTGTTGATCAATTTTCTTATCGATCGCTGCATTCGGCGGATTCCAGAGTAGTCTGTTGTGCTACAGGAGGTTGTTGGGTAGTCGTGCTTGAAATTCAGAATAATGAACGGCCTTAAAAATAAAACTTACAGGTGATTTGAAAAAATAATCAGAAATATACAAATTATAAATCGCAAGCAAATTGTCCAATCCTTCTGAAATCTTCAGAGTCGGATAGCAAAAAACTAAAACCAGCTCATTTCAAGAACTTTGCGTCAGCTGACCGCTTGAATTTCAATTTCAAATCTGAAGAATTTGATGAGCTTTATCATTTCGAAAGAAGAAAGGGTAGCTCAAGTGAGTATCAAGTTCAAAATCATTAAAGGAAAGGGTTTAAGCTCGATGCTTATTTTTTCTTTTGATCACCTAGGACTTGGTTTAGCTGGGCTTTTTTTCTCATGAACTTTTTGGACTCTCGATTTTGCTATCCTTTCCTTTTGCTCGGTAAAATCGCGCATAACCAGCTGAAGGTAGGAGTCGTACATTTCATGGTCGCCTTTGTTTGGATGCCCAGGATGTGGTGGCTAAAAATGCTTAGAAGAAATTTACCAAATGTTCGAACCTTATCATGCCTGCAATGCAGCTCAGCATCTTGAAAAAACTGTTGAACCTGGCCAAGTTTAGTCCTCAAACTCGCACGTCTCTGGCTCATCTCGGATGACAAACGCGCTTAATCCGGCGATGAGGATAATCCTCAGCCAGAAAGATTCAATTTTATCACCGTTTCATCTTTAAACACGCGCCTTTTTAGCGAGTTCAAATTTTCAACTTCGAAAAATCAAAAATGTCGAGTTATGAAAAAATGATCTCTGTCAACTCGGCTTGGCATATTTCCCCACCTAATGTGATCCTTCACAAAATGGACCCACCCAAAAGGTAACGTTGTCATCCGGCTCCTGTTTCCGAATCGCATGTGCAGCGCTGTTCTCAGTAAGCCGAAAAGATTGTTGAAAATCCAAGACGTTTCCGTTGCTAAGTCGTCGATTGGACTCGGCGTTTTTGTTGGACCGGTAGAGCTGAACAAACGGTTTTTTATCTATATATATATCAGCGGTTTTTAGATTCGACGGAAAGAGCTATCGACGAAAGGCTTTCGTATCTTAGGGGTGATAACTCACACGCATCCTCCTCGACCACAATTAGTTGCTGGCTTGATAGGAGTAATAAGCTGAAAATCTGTTGTGTAGAGAGTTGAAGTCGTCGTTGTAGTTGAAGTTGTTGGGGTTGAGGTCGTCGTTGTGGTTGTCGTTGTGATCGTCGTCGAGGTCGTCGTTGAGGTTGTCGTCGAGGTTGTCGTCGAGGTTGTCGTTGAGGTTGTCGTCGTTGTTGTTGTTGTAGTCGTAGATGAAGTGGCAAGAAAGGCTTCCAGTACTGCAAGCTGATCCTCGTTATAAAGCCGTCTGCATGTTATATAGTGGTCCTTACAGCAATCACCATAGTCAATGCACTCTGCGTCGCAGTAACAGTCTCTTTCGTCATTAGCGGAAAGCTCCAAACCGTTGACACCGAACGGAGCTTTTGGCTGATCGACACAGGGTATTCCCTGGGCAACGAGGTCAGGGTGACAGCCATAGCAATCTTCTGAAAATCCGTCGCAGCATGCATTTGTTATTCCGCCTTTGGGTCGCTCATAACACTTCGAGTTTCCCTTCGATTTTCCGATATTTGATTCTTGCGAAAAAACTGAAGAAAAAGACAGAAATATTAAATTTCTCATCATATTTTTTTTTTGCTTACTGAAAATGAGATTACAAGCGCTGTTATATAAGAAAACACCGGGGGTTCTAAACCAAGCAAATCAGCTGATCTTACGAGGTGAACATGGCTGAACATTTCTAACATACAGATTGCTGCTGCCTAAACGAGCTTGCTAATTGAGTTACTGGAGCTTTTTCTTAATAAAGTTTTTCAGAAAATTCACAAATTTCAAAAAGATTTTTCATAGAATTCGCAGAACTGATTCGAGATCAGCGAAAAATCTGCTCTTTGAAAATTTCATAATGTGCGGCGATTGCGACGAGAAAACAGCAAAAAGCGGCGACAAAAAACGGCAGTTGATTTGAGCGGTAAAACGGACGTCGTCACAAGGCTTATTGAGCGGGCAAGTTTGCAAGTTTCGTTTGTTTTATCGAAATTAAAAGGCCGCTGCTTAGAAGTAGCTCGAGAATTCTAATGACTCTCTAAAGAGCTGTTGCAAGTAGGGTCGATTGAAATGTGAAGAGTCCTTTTAGAATAATGGAAAATTTTTTATTTTCTAGAGCATTTATTTCTGCTTTGAACGCGAGTTTGTTGCTTCATTTTCCATTTTTAGCGGAAAACTGAGTTGATAAATTCATTAAAAATAGGATTATTCGAATCTTCGGCAATTAAAAATCATAATACACGAAGTTTTTCGCTGATCAAATTGTGCTGTCCGAAGTCAAATAAATTCAAGGATTAGCCAGAATAATGACGACTCCTTTTTGTTAATTACTACAATGATAATTTCGTGAATGCCACTGCGAGATTACTGGGACTCTAAGACTTTTACTTCAAGACGAGTTGAGTGATATATCAATTTTGTGGAAGGATCCTTCTTGCATCTACAATTTGCCTGCGTCTCAGACCAAGGATTCTTTTCAAAAGTGACGCCTGGGTCTCAGACCCAGGATACCCCCTCAGAAGTGACGCCTGGGTCCGAAAATCAGGAGATGAGGTTAATAATAAGAAAAATTCACTTCCTGCCATAAATAATTGATAACGAGCCTAGTAATTACTATAATTAAGGTTAGTATTAGGGGGCACCTGCAAACTCACCCGAGGGGGATATGCTAGGGTTAGTTAGGGTTACCCTTTAGTAACTATAGACTAGACCCCGGCATTTTAGGAAGAAATAATGGACCGGGACTTTCGATGAGTCTAGTATAGGCGGTATAAATTCTACGACATGGTTCAACACGAAGAATAAGCATTGTTACTCATATCGTCTATCTTAGCGATTCTAGCCACAGCTGCAAATCCGATTCTATTCCGACCGATAAAAGCTAGAATAATGGAAATCTCTGATGTTTCATTCCTTGTTGACTCAGATCTCCGGCCGCGTTGATGAACGCACAAATTACGCTTACGCGAAAAATTAAACGTATGTTTTGACGAGTTTTCATGATTCGCGCAAGAGCGCCTAAATCCGACTATATAATAAATCCCAGATCTCCGTTTCCTCATCAGATCAGAATCTCAAAAGATAATTTTGAGATCGAAAAAAAAACTTTGAAAGACAAGTTTTTTTTCTAAAATTGATTTGAATTTTTCCTTTCGATTTTTTTTGAAAAAATAAGAAATAAGAAGGATGAAAATTTCAATTCAACTGATTGCTGCTGCTTCTGCCACTCATTATCGAGCAGGCTCCTATGAATACAAGCAGAATGGGGCTACTCTTCAAGGTAAGAAAATTTTTCATCTGAGGATTACCATTTTTTAGTTCGACGAACAATGGGTTGGCGACGCGGTTTTGCTGGCTACGGAAATGACGGATGTACAGAAGATCACGTGAACAATGAAATCATCAGGTAAAATTGATCCTTTTACTCCTCAGAACTGATTATTCTCTAGTGATCCGATGATCAACGAAGTTATATACGACTTCAACGGCAATGTCTTGATTGACTTTCAGGAAGCTGGAACAGCAGGAACCTACATCGTCAGCGAAATCGAACAATCGCCCAAATTAGACCCGGGAGTTCACTACTGCTTTGGATCACAAACTGAGGAGTTTTCGATTAGCAAGCAGTTTATCCACAGAGCGTACGGTTGCTGTACGATCGAGATGAACGATGACGATGGGAATGTGTTCAAAGACGGTGACTACCAGTTTCTGTCGAAAGTTTACGATTTGACCAATAATTCGCCCTCATTCAGGTAAAAATGAAAATTTTTTTCTAGACATCATTTTTCATTCTAGAATTCCTGCGATCTGGTACATCATGTTCGGCTGCCCCGACCAGCGACTCCACCTCAGCCCGATCGACGTTGACGGTGACAACATCAAGTGCCGTTGGGCGAATGAAGCCGAGGCGGCAAGAATGTCCCGCGATATCGGCAACTTTAACTCTTTCCAACTCGACGAGGAGAATTGCATCGTCACTTATCTTCCCGAAAACGACAACTTTGGCGCTGGAATCAAACCTCTAGCGATTCAAGTCGAGGATTTCGACGCGAATGGGGTGCTCCGATCTTCGATGCCAGCGCAGTTCATGGCTACAGTTTGGACGCCCGAAATGCCCGATCCAGGGGACAATGGTTCCACTGGCGGTGGAAAACTCTTTGCTGATACTGTCTTCGGAGCAATTCACGATGAAACTCTAGAGAATCATCAGTCACCTTCAACCTCTTCTTTCAAGCCGCCTCGTAGATGGCGTGCTCGAGGGCGGCGAAACACCGACTATCCAGCATACTGCTCCGGTCTTCCAACCTTCACCGGCGAAACCCCCACTGACGGAGACATAATCGAAGTTTTCAATGAAATCGATATTGATTTTTTCGCGATTTACACGCTTGATGATACAACCAACTTCGACATGGACAGAATTGTCTTTTCCACGCCACCAGGAATGACCTGCACTGAGGTTGATAAGGTGACGGGACAGGCGACTTGCTCCTGGGAACCAACAGATGCGCAGAGAGCGATTGGAGAGTTTGACTTGTGCGCGATAGCATACGATCCAATGAATAGAAATACTGATCAAGTTTGCGTCACGCTCAGACTCAATCCTCCAACCACAACAACAACCACTACAACTTCAACAACTACCACCAGCACGACAACAACGACGACAACAACAACAACTACTACAACTACGACAACAACCACGACTACAACGACAACTCTCGGAACAGGAATCGCAACCAACACCGGTGACATCAGCATTTTTACTCACGATTGGTTCAACGTTCCCACTATTTTCCCTGAATGCGATACAAAACACAACAATGATTCTACCCTCTCTACCTGGGAAACCGTTGAATCTGAGTGGATGCCTGCCGTTGGAACAGTCCATTGGATGCACTTGCGCAACAGCGAATCTCGAGATTCCGTTTGCGCTGACGTCTACGATGGGAGTATTGGTTTCGATATGTCGCGAACGGTCAGAACCTTGATTCCAACTTTTGCCGGGGTGAAATGCTTGAGATTCGAAAATGGAGAATGCACTAATGCTCAGGTTCGATATTGCTGCCCACCTGAAATTCCAACAACAACAACTACAACAACCACAACGACAACTACTACTCTTGGAACGGGAGTGCAAACAAACACCGGCGACATCAGAATTTCCACCCACGATTGGTTCAACACCCCGACAATTTATCCTGAGTGCGATACTAGCCAAAACTACGACTATTACCTCTCAACCTGGGAAACAGTCGAGTCTGACTGGATCGAAGGAGGAAGCAGCTGGAAGTACTTGCTCAACAGCGATTCAAGAGATGAAGTTTGTGCTGATGTCTACGCTGGTGAAATTGGTTTTGATTCGTCGAGATTGACGGGAGATTTCATTCCAAGCTATGTTGGAGTCAGATGCTTGAGAGTTGTTGATGGAGAGTGTGTTGATGCTCTCATTCGTTACTGCTGCCCAGCTGAAATTCCAACAACAACAACAACCACCTCTACAACTACGACTTCTACAACAACGACAACCACGACAACTACTACAACTACCACCTCGACAACATCAACAACGACAACAACAACCTCAACCACTACAACAACAACCACGACAACAACAAGTCCTCGACCAAGAACTACCCTCACTTTCTGGCTCGACATTTTCGCCCCCAACTTCACGTCTCAAAATCTCACCGATTACGGTTGCACTGGTCGAGGCCTTCTAGAACCTTTCACCCGAAACGCTGGTCGCCCCGTCGACGCAGTAGATCTAGCGATCAATTCATGGAAGAAATGCAATCGTTGCTCCGTTGACGTTCTCTATCCATCTACTCTTCTAACAAAGGGTTGGGACTATCCCCTTCCTTTGAATGAGCAGTGCTTTAGCGATACGGACTTTGAAAAGGCAATTTGCGAATGCGACAAAGCATTTGCCAAGGCTCTTGAAATGATTGGCTCGCCAGCAGAAGAATATCAAAATTATGATGAAGGTCTTTGCAGCTCTTGCGGAGGATCTCTTATCGGTAAGAATGCGTATTTTTGAATCCGTGTAATGAAATTCATTGATCATTGATCACCAATCAATATAATTAAGAAACTGAAACAAAATGCTGCGTGACCGAAGCCGGCTCTTTTCAGCAATATTCATCTCCATCCGAGCAATGCTGCGAAGACAACCAGCTAAAGCCAATCGGAACCTGTGAAATCGAAGAAGGAATCACTTATTCCGGCGCAGTGAAAATGTTCTGATCAATTTATCATTCTGTAAATATTTTTTCTTCATCACTTTTGTACTCAAATAAACATCTTCTTATTAAAAAAATCCGTTTATTAAACAATTTAAAAAATATTAAAAAGTTATTTTACAAAATAATGCATCCAGGGCACTTTCCACCGGCTTCTTTTGTGATAACGTCGACGTCATGATTGTCAATTTTGTGAAAAGCCCTCTCGATTTGAGCACTTAGAAGATGCTTTTTATGACTATTCAGAAATTTGAAGCGATGAAATATTTTGTGAACTTACAGCTTCTCATTTGGGTTTTCTTCGAGAATCGTTGATTTTCCAGCTTTTTCAGCGAATTTTCTAAGAGAGAATTTATGTTTGATGAAAAAAGAGAACTCACAACTTTTCACCAGGTTTGACCGGGAGAACAAGAACTCCTCCTTAAAAATCAATGACTTTATCGAAATTAAAGCTAAATGTCTACCCTGGACAGGCGCATTGTCATTGGTGTCGACGACTTTCTCGGCTTCATCCGGTTTCTTTTGCCCTAAAAGAACTTCATTTTGGCATAAAAAACATTAAATGTACCCGTTGGCTCTTGAATTCTTCGTCTCCTTCTTGATTTTGCTCGTCTCTGGGAAATCGTCATTTTTTCTTCTCTAAATCATTCTTTTATGAAAAACCTTTATATCGAAGTACTTTTGCTCTTGCGAATCTTCATTTTCTTCACCCGGCTTTGTTAGCGCAAGTGATTCTTCTTCTTTGATCTCAGATTCGTCTTCAATTGTTTTTTCATCGGTCGAGTCTTTTTCCTGAATTTCATTTTCGACAGGCAAGTTTTGATGTCTTCGGCGTCGCGATTTTCTAAGACTTTTTGATTTTTCAATTTTGACTGGTTCTTCTTGCTTCTCTTCAACGATATCTCTTTGTACCAATGTTTCACTAACGACTGCTTCTGGTGAGCTGGCAGGTTTTTCAACCTCGATTTTTTCCTCCGAAAAATCTTCCGTCTTCTGATCTTTATTGTCTTGGGGAGGATCAACAAAGATTACTTCCTCTATCGAATCCTCAAGTTGCTTTTTGACCTTTCGCCGACGACTTTTTGACTTTGTTCTGCTTTTTGACTTCTTTTCTTCCGTTATATCAGTCAATTCTTTTTCTTCAGCAACTTCGTCCTGTTCATCAATCTTGTCTTTCATAAACTCTTGATCAGCTTCCAATTCGATGGTTTCAACAGGAGAGCTTCGGATTTCCGACTTTTTCTTTCGCCTTCGGCTTTTCGATCGGTTCCGGCTATTTGATGTTTTCTCTACAGGTTCATCATTCTTGTCTTCATTTTCTTCTACAGAGGCTTGAGAATCTTCAATCTTTTCTTTTTCAGAAAGCTTGTCCTCGATTTGAAGATTGTCTTCCTTTTTCTCGACGACAACTGGCTTATTATTTCTTCGACGACTTTTTGATCGTCTTCGGCTTTTGGACTTCTCTCCAGATTTTCCTTCCTTCTCAGTCAAACTGCCTTCAAGAGCTTCTGTAAGAACATCACTGTTTTCTTCTTTGACGGAATCTTCTTCCACATTAAGTATAGCTTCATTTCCGGCATCTTCCGCTTTTGTTTTTCTTCTGCGGCTTTTTGATCGTTTTCGACACTTTGATTTAATTTCTGTTTCTTCTGATGCATTCATTTTCTCGCCAATGTTTACTTCTAATCCTTCATCATTTGGAATCGTTGCAATTTTTCTCCGACGAGATCGTGATCTCGATCGACTCTTCTTTTCGCAGGAAGGTTGCAAGTTTTCTTCCTCGGTTTTATTTTTCTGCTTCCTTGTTTTGCGCCTTTTCGACTTTTCAAGCGTTTTTTTCTCTTCCTCCGTCATTTTGATTTTCAGCGATTTTATCAATCAGAGCTTCATTCAAAGCGGAAATGAGAAATTTTTGAATAACGAGTATGAAATAAGTCTATAATAAGAATTTGCCCATTTATTGTACATTTTTGTTTTGAAATTTGATTTGCAGCAAAACTTAAAAATAATTAATCTTTTCGTTTTTAAGCTCTTCTTGGTTTCTGAAGATTTTGTAGCCAAACACTGCCATGTACTCTTCGCATATTTTTTGTACTTTTTGAACTCGATCCCAAGCCGCGGTTTTTCTCCATTTTTGAAGGTTTTCTTTTGAGTTGCGCTTGGTCGAATAAGCTTTTAAAAATTCATTATCTTTTGAATACTTTTCGAGAGGATACGAAGTGGCTCTAGAATTTGTATCTTCATAGTATTTTTGACTTTATGAAAATGAACAAATGAGATCGTTGATTTTATCCCTTTCCTTTGTACTGTCATCCTTCTCTGTCGCCGCTTTCAAATACTCATGAACATCTTCTGAAATCTCCATGTCCAGAAACTCATAAGTTTCTTTCGAAACCGCAATTGGGTCCATCGCGATATCTTCATATCTAATTATTTTCACCATCTCTTTCCATTTTGACTCATTTTTCTTGTTTGCCGCGAATTTCGCGCACTCGACTTCCAGCTGATCGAAAAACTGCTGCTCATGGGTACCCCAGTAACTCGCTGGCCAAGTCAGTTTCTTTCTCGATTCTAGCATTGCTCGAGGATCTCTTGCGAGAAGGACGATCTTTCCTTCGATTTTGCCATCAAGCCGATTGAAAAAATCGACAAATTGTTGAACATCTAGGACTCTGATGATTTTCGCCGCTGTCGCTTTTGTTTCGTTTATGCATATTTTCTCCGCAAGATCGGCTTTTTTTGCTGGCCCGGGAAAACAAGGCTTTCGGCAAATATGATCTTCGTACGTCTTTGAGCAAAAAGGAGGAGCGCAAAAACGGCGAGAATTGAACCAAAAACAAGTGTCCTCTGTCTGACAGACGTTTTTGACTGTAGTTGAGTTTTCAGCGTAGTCCTTCCAGTCAGAGAAGAGCGGAAGTTTACAATCGACGAAAATACTTTCCAGAAGCTTTTGAGGAGTTCTTTTTTCGCTGGCTTTTTTTACATTTGATTTTTAAAATATATTTTTCAAATTCTTAGAACTGAACCTGAAACCGTTTTTCTTCAATGGTTTTGTTCATTTTTCCTGTCCAGTCGTATTCAAAAAGTGTGAAGGGTTCAAAATGATAGAAAATGTCCTTTATGTGGCTCAAAAACATACAATTTTCTGTTAAAATTTCAAGAGATTTGAGCACTTTCCTTGTTCCGATTGAATAATTCCCCGGTAAACGTACTTCCTGCGCGGTAAAGAGTCATCAGCACAATCGTTTTTCGTCGAATTTTTGAAGAAACATTTTTCGTTTCAAGTTCATTTTTACTTTCTTCAAGCTTTTCTTTTCTGACAACGAGTCTCGACTTTAGCTCCTGATTCTCTTTTGCGCTCTTGTACAAAATAAAAAAGACGAAAAGTAAGCAAACAGCACTTATTATTTTTTGATAGAATCTCATCGTTGCTAGTTAATTATAGTTTTATACTGGTGACTGAAATAAACGTTTCATTTTATTGAGTAAATGTTGGAAAACACTTAAATAAGGTCTCGTTGTTGTCGATATGATTGGACCTAAGGGCAAGTTCCATTGATGCATGAAGTTCTAGTGAAATCTATCTGATAAGATAGAAGAAGATAGTCAATATAAAATCGAGAAACAGTGATTAAATAACTCGGAAAATTAAAAAATTTGGTAAAAGAAGTTTCGGACTTTGTAGGCGGGAGCAGGGTCGTAGTGATTGTCGGCAACGTATGCTGAGAGAGTGCCGGTGGTTTTCGCTCTGCTCGAAGCGTAATTTCCCGACATTATGGTGGCGCCGTCGACACTTGCGACGTAGGAAAGTTGTCCGCTTCCACGATTGGTAACTTCTATAGTATAGGTGCTCCATTGACCGTCAGTGCACGTAATTTCCGTAAATTCGTGATGATCATATCCTTCTGGATTATTTGTTGCAAAGTGCACTTTATTGCTACCGCTTGATCGGAAAAGTACGAACGTTCGATCACCAGCTGCTCCGTAATCTTGGCCTGTACCAAGTCGAAGGATAGCCGTCCAAGCCCAGTTGATTGGGGCGCTATGGTCGCAGAAGACCTCAGCTGACGCTTTGTAGGCCAGAGCAGCCGGGACGGTTGCGAGAAGATTATTTCGACTAGGTGCAATGGCGCAGCCATTAACGATGTTAAAGCAGTTTTCAACTCCGTCGCATGGATCGGGAACTTGCAAGCACGCGATATTTATATCAGCAAAAGTCTGATAGTAAAAATTGCGGACGAAATTCGTTGAGCCAGCCTTGTACCAGTCGTCAGAAACGAAAACTTTGAGATCGACAGATGTCACCAATCCATTTTTGTAAGAGTACATGCCTTGTTCGATAGGGTCACCATCAATGCTGACAACATATTCGAGAACCAAGTCTTCGAAAGAGCGATCGCTTTGTTTCACAAGAACAGTGTAGGTGTTCCACTAACCCTGAACGCAGACATGATCGCGGGCCTTATAATATTCGTCTGGAGCATTAAAAAAGAATAAAAACTGTTTTTTGTCAGGATATCGCCAGATTCCGAATGGTCGATCACCAACAGCTCCATAGCGACAGTCTCCAACGGTCACGTGTATGATATTTAAGAAGTCTCCTCCGTACATCAGGGGAAGTAAAGGCAAGCTATAGTCGCAATAAACGTCAGCAGAGAATTTGTAGTTGAGAGCGGCGGGCACAGTTCCAACCAGATTGTTTCGAGAGGGCGCAAGGCTGCATCCGTCTACGAGGGTCTGACAATTGTCGAGGCCATCGCATGGATCTGTATCACATGGAGGAATTTCTTCGAGATAAAATGTCTTTATTAGCGTGTGGTCATCTAACTTGAGTATGCGGATTTTTCGGTCATTGAACTTTTCATGGCTGGTAATATTTATTT